TCAAAAAATTGTCTACAACCGCCCCTCGCCCACCGTTTGAGAACTACTGGTCTAAGAAGATGTTCAATGAGAATGTACATTTAGTTATAAATAGGGCAGTGTAGACCAAGTCAAATGTCAGAATCGTCTCTTGGAAACATATGAGTCAAAAATTGAGTTCTTGCAGTCACGTCAAAGCAAGCTTTAGGACCTCTAAAAAGTGATTACCAAGTCACACAACGAAGTATTACCCGTCCTTGTCCTTCTGGTGTATGCATTCCTTGGAGGTGCCCTTTAACTGAATGTGCCTTGACTAAGTTGTCCTTATTTATGTGTGTACTACTGCTATTGATCCCATTTTGTTTTTCACATTCAATACATCGACATAAAATATCTTTCAAATGTTTTTTGAGGAAATGATTCCTGAAATAAGTATTTCAGTTGAAAACGCCGGCCGAGACAGCTCATCAATAGCTAATTGGTACTGTAATTGAATTACGGTAAGTAGTCGGTGCTCACAATTTTATCGCTTTGCTATACTAAATGAAATTTATATTTCAAAGATGGTATAAAAAAGTTTGAAGGTTAAGATGATTGATTTCACAATAGCCATTATATTGTATTGTACCCATGACAGTATATCGACGCATGAAATCCAAATTGGGCTAAGTCCATTTTTTTAGTTTTGAGAAAAACGCAAAAAACGTTTTTTTTTTGTTTCTTTTTTTTATTTCTCTAATACCTTACATCGAGGATGTCTAGTTTTTATGGTCCACCAAAGTTACAATGAAGGCCATATATTGATGGTATAAAAAAATTTGTGCTCCGTCCCAATTTTTTTTTGGGTTTTTTTCTTGGACCTGACCCTTTTTGGTTCTCAATTTTGGACCAGAATCTGGACCAGAAACAATTTTATTGGACTTAGGGCCCCTTTATTATGTTATTATAGAGGCTGGTATGGACTTAGCGCTTTGTATTATATTTTTTGAGAGGAGCTATGTCCAAAAAACGGACTTAGCCCCAACTTACAATGCAGTTATCCAGAGCTAAGTCCACTATAGTAGACACAGCTCTGTTTAGTTCTCAAATGCCCTAAAACAAGCAGGGTTATGTCCATAGCTGTCTTGAGATCTAGAGCACCTAGAGATAAGGCAAATAGGCCAAAATGTAGAGCTAAGTCCAGGAAAATCAGCAATTGAAAAATGTCATTTTTTGGAAAAGTGGACTCAGCACTGTTTGGTTTTGAGGTGTCGATATACACTAGTATCAAACATTTAGCTGGCTAACTATTCCCAAACCAGGACTAGTAACCATTAAATCAGACAAGGAGCCGTGGTTCTATTCACGATCAAGCTGTCTTATAAGTTGCTTTCCTTTGAGATATACATAGAATATTATGCTTATCCTATGAAGAATACTCCAGACAAGCTTATGCATGGAGAGAAACTGAAGTTTGAAATAATAGTCATTGTTTCTCCAGTTTGAGTCGCCTACTAAATTTGTGGCCTTTCGGGGAGATGTGAGTAAATGCGACACAGGATTCGTTAAATGTAATGATTTAGCAACAAGCACTTCAGCCGTTGAAGGACAATTACCACTACCAAGTCCCAAAACATACCCCACCTATGCATATTTTTTTTACCTGTATGTATCATTCTTTAACATATATTTTGATTTACAAGAATGACAGTTCAAATTTTCCTGATGAGAAGTTGTTAAATGATCAAAATAATTATCCAAAGGAATCAAATGATTAATAGTTTCTCTGTCAGAATCTGTGACAAAACAAGACCAACTGTAACTTCAATGATGATAAATAAAATTGCCATCAAATTTATTCTGTAGGCAAACTTCTTATAACTTTGAGGAGTCAGTAACTTGAGTAAATTTCCAAACCAGGTTTAAACACTGATATCGGCTTTTTATCAAATTCAATCATGACTTATATAGCCTAATTGTTCAGTACGGTACTTGATTTATGATGATAACGAGTACAGTATATTAATATATGGAATAAACTTGTTAGAGATGTATATATACAAATAGGACCTCCTGAAGTATGCGCACCAAGATGGCGCACAACCTCAACTCAGGTTGTGTACCAGGTTAGGGTTCAGGTTGTGCGGCATTGATAGTTGTGTGGGACTGTTCAATCAATGTTCCTACCACTTAGCTGAAAGGCCACTTTGAGCAAACTGGGAGTTTTTCAAAGAAAACTGCATTGCCAATTACTAGTCAAACTTTTTCAAGTAGGCCACTTTTAATTTTTTTTATTATTTTTTTTTAAAAACATACTAGATATCCCGAGACAAAAACTAGACGAAATATGAAAGCAGTCGCACCATGATTAAAAAACTGGATATTAGAAAAACTGAGAACTCTTACTGTTGTTTCCAGTTGTTTCTTTGCATATTTTACATTCCACATGAAGAATAAAATGTTCCGACAAAATGTGTAATTCTTTTTGTCCTTTGTTAATTGGCTTGTTGCACAGTGTACAGAAAGGGTGAATAGGGCGAATACTGGTAACAGAGGTATAATGTAAATGGTTTTGTTCATTGTTTTTTTAATTATATCAATATTATTTTTAAGATTCGAGAGTTTATTCCTCATAAAAAAAAATGTGATGAAATTTTACACAGATTCTTCGAATTTTCATAGATATCTCATAAATTTTCTTATATTCAAACTAAAATCCTCAAATACCAGACATTAAAACTGATGAACCTATAGCCTATAACATTTAAAAACATCAGTGATATGAAGATCAAGGCTAACCATCATATATTGACAAATAATACATATTTCAGTACAACCTAAAATAAATAGAACTTGCAAAGTATTTTTGTTTCTCGTAAGCAAATCAGGAACAGTGATATCAAAAATTAATTTTTCATTCAAAGGGCATTATATCAATAAAAAAAAGTGGTGAAAACCAAAAATTGTACCTCTTTCTAGGGTAGGCTAGGTCACCACTATGGGCATCTGGTATGAAAATTCACTAACTACAGATAAATGTTAATAATTTTACCTGTTTTTTGCAATATCATTGTCTTCAAAATCATCCTCACTCTCAGGTGAATCAGAATCAAAGTTATCACCGTCAGATACCTTGATATAAAAAGTACTAAATCAAATAATACTCTAATTGGATCCAAAACCTAAATAAATTAAAGGCACAGTAATTAAATATCTCATAGGTCGGAATCTATGTAACATATTAGAATAAATAAAACCAATTAAAATTTTTCACACAGTGATTGGGGAGAATGCCTAGTAAATAGCTTTTTTGAATTTTGGACAGTTTTCCCCATGCAACCTTTTGCACACCAGCATTTCCCCATTATTCTAACACCTCGACCACTAGGTCATTTAGTTCAACCTTTTTAATTATTCCACATTTTTACCTGATATTCAGAATCTGCTCCATCTATTTCTATATTCATGACTTGGTCATTTTCTACTTTTTCAGATTCTGAAAATTGGTAAATAATTATAACAGTGTGACAGGAATTATTACTCCTTATTCACAAAAATCATTCGAAATAACTTCAAACAGATCAATTTCAAAACAAATTGTGCATTAATTACATTTCACACAAATCTAAATTCCAAGTACTCTTTTAGAAACTACCATAGTTACAGTTATTGTTTATTCCTGTTTTCATCTTTGAAACACATATCAGGCTTCTTTCATTTAAAAAACCTAGGGGTCGTAACTACATAGTAAAACAGAGTTACCAAACCTTCTAACAAAACAGATCTTTAGTACCAAGTTTATACATTATTAAGGGACTTCATCAACTCAATTTTAAAGAGGGAAAAAATTGATAGTTCTTCGTAAACTGTATATATTTAACTAAATTTCATAAAATCACGAATTTTCCAAGAGTACAATGTGGTAATATTAAATATTCACTAGTTAGTACAACATACCAGAAGAGATTGGAATTACTTTAGTTCCTTCTTCAAATAATTCACTGTAGTAAAACAGGAAATTTTGCAAATAAATTGGAGAAATTTAAAGATTTTATTCTCTATTCAAGTTCTCATGTTCGAAGATTGCGATAAGATCCCAACATTAGAAATAATCATATTTTAATTATAAAAAGGGATGTTTTTTAAATTTAAAAATACTGCTCATCCCATATATTTTGCTATTTTTGCATTAAAAATCATGGGTTTATTAACTTTGAAAATTTGCACATATCACGATTTGGCCACAAAGTAGGCCCATTTCCGTCACAAGCAATTAATTCCTTTCCAGTTCGAAATTATTCACCCATTTAATTGCACTGTCAGTGAGACGGCAGGCACAATGGATCTTCACCCTGTGACGCCTTAGTTTCAACATTCTCCGAAATTAATAGAAAAGCAGAAATTTAGAATAGCGTAACTAAGGTATGTATATCTTTATTTAAAACATGAACAACAACTACATAAACTTACTCATTTTGGATGTCTTTCTCATTAGTCTGGATGTCATTATTGCATATACAATTGCGAATCAAATATTCATATCTTTTTCTAAAATAAAAATAAAACATATCAGAAGCAAAAACAATTAAATCAAAAGTATGCCGAAATATGTAACAAATATTTTGGCAGTATCAGAATTTTATCTACCGGTTTTTCATACATAAGCATTAATGTGACTTATAATATGTATACAATACATTGATATGTGCCTGTCAAGTTGGGTAATAAAAACGAATAATAAGACATTGAAATCAGGATAGCTTTGACCTTTGACAAATTCCATTTTCTCCTATTTTTAATTTGACATTGAGAATGGGTCATAACAGTAGATCCAGAGCATGACTGGTAATCAATCACGAACTAACAGAATTGAATAGATTCCAAAGAGTAGACTTAAGAATTACTGTTGGTAGATTGTATAGAATAGTATGCCCAATAAGGCAGAAAAACTAATTCCGAAAATGGTGAAATTGTCAATATTGGTATAATTCAAGGCTCGGACGTCATAAACTATTATTTTCAAAAGTGCAATCTAATCTCACTTGATTTCAAGCAATTGTTCAATGAATTCAGAATCTGTATGAATAGTCTTCTCAGCTGTCCAGGATGCTGCTAATCTTCCATATAGTTTTACTGAAACAGGAATAATAAAATCATAAAAAAAATAATGAAAGGCCAAAAAATTGTCTGAAAAAACTTAATTTGCAGTGAAAAAGCAGAAAATCAAAATAATATGCCTAGTCCAAGAGTCATTTAGCCATTTTATTCTAAAATGACCAAATATTAAAAAAAAATAAACTATTCCAGTTTTGTGATTTACATTACCTATATCCTTATAAATACAGTTTACCACAATGAGAAAGTTTGAATAATTTTTTTATCATCACTGGTATGTAGAAACTGTATTTTATTAAAAGAACCCAAATCGTTCTAACACAACATAAATGATTATATTCTGGGTGGGGCAGTTACACCCACCACTGAGCCGTCAATTGTGATCAACACTAAATATCATACACTGTAACATACTTGTGACAAATGATTGTTGATTTGAACCATAATCCTCATCTTTTTTATTTTTTTTTACAATTACTTCTTCTTACTCTGGTTTGAGAATTCAAGGTTAGCAAAGAAGGATGTTCAATATCAATTTCCATGTATCTCTAAATCTGGAATTTTCTAAAAAGATTAAAAAAAAATCATAAAATTAACAGGAATGTATATATCAGGGCTAATAATTTTGAAGTAATATTAAATTATTCATGAAATAGGCATTACAGAACTTCATTCAACAATCCAATTATTTTTCTTCTTATATGCAAATTTATATTGGAACGCAAACACTCTGTAATAATGTATCATAATTTAACAACAAGAAATGCAGATAAGAAATAAATATTAGAAAGGAGTTGTGAGACCATTGTTATTAAGACACTCCTGATCTTGTAAATCAATATTTGTATATTAGGTATCCTATATTGCAATACAATATCTATATGTAACTAAATTTGGCCAATGTAAAAAAAGTGAAACCAGTCAAGACAACAATGGGTATGTATAAAGCCCGGTTATCCATATTTAATAATCTTTATTGTCAAATCATGCCCTCCCACCAATAAAGATAATGCTGGTTTCAGATTACTAGTAATATCACCAATGTTTTTTCAACATAGCGTGATTTTTGACAATCTATAATTTTATTCCATAAAATAACTCTTTTAAAATATCATGAAATCTGAGTATCTGACACTCAAAAAACAACTGATTACCAAAGCACAGTTCACAGTATGCTTAATCAAGGCCGAGTACATATTGAATTAATATGCTCTTGTGTAAATCAGGGACGCCCCTGCACACTAACACAAATGTATTTCTGTAACGTTTCGTCTGACCAAAATCAGACTTCCTCGGACAAGGTTTGTGTTTGTGTGCAACAGGGCTCTTGAATTGCATAGTAGGGTCCTGTTTATTCCTGCTACAGAACCCTTGCATCAAATGCATACGAATCCGATAAATATTCATTCATCAGACATTAACCAAAAATCAATAGCTGGTCATATCAATAATAAACTTAATATTATTATATTACCCTAATAAAGACTGTAAAGAATAATATAATGTGAAGATTTAATAAAATTCAAAATAAGTAATAAAATCAAATTACATAAACATGGCAAATAAATATAGCCTATATACCACATATTAAATCAAGCATTTAAAAACAAAATATGATAAAATAAAAATAAAAAATATGAATAAGAAAAGTTTTCAGTACCGATCTAAATCTTAAGTAACAATATAAAATGAAACTCTTGGTAAGTTGAAACTTTTTACTAATACTGTGGAAGTACTAAGCTACAAAAAGTTAAAACAGCAATTACAGCATGATGAATTAGGCATGAGAAAGTCTGTGGATGACGACAGTGGAAATACAAGTTACAGAATTACAATGAAGAACTCGATTCGCACCATCTATTGAAATAGGGTTGGAAAAAATCTCACCGAGAATCACCACCTAATCAAGGTTCTCAACTAAGCAGCAGAAACAGAAACACTCAATAAGACATTCTGAGCGGATTTGCAAACATGAAGCTAATTTTACATAAGAGGACTGATTCATTTTCGAAAAGTGGAGTGAAATTTGACCACAAATTTGAAATTAATTTCTCTATATATCGTTAGGAGCTACTATAGTTTGGAAAAACAGGAATTTTTTCGATTCATCAATGCCTATGCCATTTATTACATCCTGAGTGGGTGGTGGCCAATGGGTATGGAATTTAACCCATAGTCAAGTCAAATAATTTAACCTCTAGGCCGCCGCCCCACTTTGTGTACGTGTATAGACCACTTTGTGTTCGTGAAAATATTTTTTACAAAAAATACGAATGTAAAGCAATAATGCAAAATAGACGACACATAAAATATATACCGTAATATATCGAAATTTCTCATGTAACAATGATTTCAAATAACAACATATTATTTTGAAAATGCATTCGGTTTAATTTAATTTACTTGTTCATGATTATTCTAATCCACTACGTCGCGCATGATCTTGAAATTATATTTTAAAAAAGTAACAGAAAAGTAAACTTAAATAAAATAATGAACTATTCAAATTACATGAAGCAAAAACTGTTTATAACGTTAATATGAAATTAATGCACCAATGGTCAATACGACCTAGAACCAAACAGATAAAAATCCCTATAAATATGTTGAATTAATTAAATAAATCTAAGATAGCATCACACAAATAACAAGTCCTTTTTTCTTGTTTACTTCCTAAGTCTACATAGTCCCAAAATGATGGAAATAGGTTTCTTACCTAAAAACTAAGCCAATCGAAGGTGAATATTCCATTTAAAAATGCCTAAAGTTGGTAATTATTAAAAGTAAAATTTTATGGTTAAATGTATTTATATTGTAAGGAAGCTCTTAGAATATCAGTGATTGCATATACGAATAGCTTTGCTCAGAACCGGTTCTCTGTAACTTTTGAGTGAGTGTGTGTGACACCTAAAAAAGTTAACATTAGAAGTGGACAGCTAAAATTGCACCATTACAAATTAGCATTACATTAGTTATATACCATATCAAAAAAATCACTTTTTCAGTGCTAATATAAACTATTCCTCAGGCATCCACCAGGTTATAAAAGGAATATCAATATTATCATCCCAACTTTCTTCAAATATGAATTCATTAATAACATAGCTTATATTAATAGAGATGGGTAAAATTTTCATGTGAGTATTAAGTCTTTGTAAATCTTCCAGTCTAATACAGGATGTACTGCTCCCATTCTGAGATTGCGAATCAGAAGTGAGATTGATTGATACATTACAAATGCTCGTACCACCTTTATCAATGACAATTGCTTCAATTAGGAGGATATTTGAGAATAGACATGTTACATTAAGTTTTACATATACCCCACAAGATTCGAAAAAAAATAATATTGGCTTCTGACCAACATGTACTTCATTCCATTCATAGTCATGTATATTCTGCTTTTCTGCATTGAAAGGAGATTTCAATGGGTCGGTTAATTTTCTGTCTTCAAACATATTGGATTTGAATTCTGGCTGTTGAACTCCTCTGGTTAATTCACATTTATGCATGTCTTGATGAACAAGTTCCAAAACTCTAGTAATGCGTTTGTCCTTGCTCAAATGATTCTGAAGATTAGAAACATATGCTCCTAATTTACGACCTTTCACCTCGTATGCCATTCCACTTTCCATAGTTGCAAAACTGATAACAAAATTGCACGATTTAAATTTATTATGAGTTGGCTCAGGGAGTTTGACCGCACGTTCATTGCGTCGCCTACAGACGTCCAATAACACAACTGTCAAATGAAGATCATGCAAACTTATATCTTGAATCATCTTTTTGACAGAAAAACAATTCTCATAGGTGTAATCTTTTGGAGCATCTGTTGGGACAATATAACATTGTCCATCATTTTCGAAGCCGTGTCCAGCCAGATATAAAACACAATATGATCCATTTATTAAATAACTACAAAACACCTTAACAGCTCGTTCCATCTCAGATAGGTTAAGGTTGACGAGTGATACTGTTTTAAATTGAAGTTTTTTTCTTAACGTCGAGGCCAACGCTGCTACGTCATTCGTTGCAGAAGCTAATGTCGTGTTATGGACATAATCTTCATTGGCAATTAACAAAGCAAATTTGGCAGTTGCAGTCATAGAAACATTATCATAATCAGAGTGTACATCTTTATTTATAGAACATCCCAATTCTTTCACAATTTCTACTTTTGCTGCATTTGAAACAGCACTGAGTGAGTTATCACATGTAACAGTACAAACGTAGATTCCATCATCCGATGGTTGCGCATCTAATATCATAAGAACTTTGTTAGTTTGATCAGGTAATTTAATACCATCCCGTTGCCAGGAATAATGTACATTGGCTTGATCACTTTCAGCTACGCACCTTAAAATTAAACCTTCTCCACAATTTAATCTTTGTTCTTTAGGGTGCTCAACAATACAAAGGTAAGGCTTATTTGGATGAGAAAGATTATTAATACAATTCATTTGTAAGCCAGGTTGTTTGTATGCCTGCGTCGAAAAAGGCATTTGAATCCCTTTTTCGTTTGTTAGATTTAATGTTGGTGGGAACATTGTATTTGGGATTGCATGTGAAACTCCTGAAGATAATACAGGAAAAGTTTGTAGGTTGTTAAAAGTAAAATTGGTCAATGGAGATTCATGAACCATAGGATAGCCAGCGTTTGGTGATTGTTGCATCATAGTCGATGCATGATCTTCTGAAAACAATTCATCCAGAATCCTTTTTCTTTCATTTTCAAATGAAATTCTACAATTTTTCTTATGTAAAGGAGCAATCATCATATAAATTTGAAAATATTGAGGCATTTGTAAAGAATTCATGTAAAATAATAAAGCATGCACCGAGAAATCGATATTACTTTTCTGTTCCAATCGCAATAAAAGTTCTTTTGTTGGGCTGGCAACTGCTAATGAAGAAGCATGATGTATTGCACTCATATCTCTTGCATCCAACACGTTTAATGCTTTGAGATGTTCCGATAATATATTCCAACCTTGTTGGTCCAATAAATCACAAATGGAAGTAAATGCAGATCGAAGTCTGGAAAGTTTCAAATTTAAAATGCATTCGCATGGTTGTGCCTGCATTTTTTAATAATCAATCAATAAATCATTTATTTCGGTAATAATATTTAACTATTTTAAAGAAAAACCTTGAAAGGGAAAAATATCATTGATTTTTTATACTTATGCACATGATATAAGGATATAACAACAGTACCGTACTTTGATTTATCAACTCTAGCCTAATTCATTACAATAAATAAGATTTAAATATTTGAAGAAAAAATCTGCCACAGCAAATCATAAAATTGAAATCTGTTGATTCTGTGATTGCAGTTTTCATAACACAGGAACAATAAATTCATCTATACTTTCTCTGTCTGTTCTGACATTAGGATAGGATTTACATATTTATCCCGGGGGAGAGGAAAGCCGATAAGACAGCTTATTCATATGGCGAACCACGGCCTCTCGTCCGGTTACGGTACCATTCCAAGTCGGGTATGGGATTAGTTTATTGTTTGTTTTCGAAGCATGGACTTGGTGGTGGAGGAAGCCGTAACCGAACAGCGGTTACTTAAACCACCCAACGACGGCTAAGGAGTCCGGGCGCAATCCTCTCGCACATAACCACTCCATGTCATGGCCGATTCCGAACGACTGCGAACCCACGCGGAAGGAAAAGTTCTATTCTATTATCACTATTGAAGATCAGAAGATACTATCCAGCTATCTGACAGTATCAAACACCAATCTGCCAATGAATAACTGAGATAGGCCTACATGTATAATGTATTACTCGAGAGTTAATTGGACCAGTATCAGAGTATTGACCAAAATTGCAAGTGCAGTTTCAAGATTCTGTGGCGTCTGCAGCTGCCGCAAAACCATGGCGTTATTTCCATAAATCCATGGGCCGCTACCGGCCAAAACCTTTGGCAAATGACTTTTAGCCTCCACAAACCAAAGTGACGAAGCTGCCGCTTAGACGCGGCAGCAAATTGAAAACCAATTGCAGGTAAAATTTTGCTGCCCCAACCACGGCAGGTGGGCCGTAAAGACAGGGATAGGATAGGATTTACATATTCACCCAGGGGAGAGGAAAGCCGATAAGAGGGGTTATCCATATGACGAACCACGGCCTCTCGTCCGGTCACCATTCCAAGTCGGGTATGGGATTAGTTATCAATCAATCAACCAATCAATTTTATTCGGTCACTCTGATACAAACAAAACACAAAACAATAACAAAGGGACAAACAAAATACAGAGGACCTGGAGGACGGGCATAACTTAATAAAAAGTTAAATACGTACAAGTACGTGCCCGTCCCCCAAAAACAGGCAAAACACAATAAAACAAAAACACGATGTGACATCGGGCAATATCTTATAAATTCAAATTAAAATGTGAGACGTGTATGTGCTTTTCCTATACAGATATATGGATTAAAGAACACTCGCTGACAAAAAAATGATGATGTTGTGGGCCTACTTCAATTATATTGCAAAAATAACACAGTGACAATTTTTTTTTACTAAAAAACAAGCATGGTAAATGGATTGAATGTTCCATAGCAGTCTATGCACAAATCATGAATTGGGGTATTGGGTTCTTTTGTCGTTTTCGGTTAGTTCACTTTAAAATCATTGTATCCGTTCCAATGCTTCCAACATTAATATCGAATTTCCATGAACGACCACCATTCAGCCATTCCAACAGGTGCAGTGATCCCATCGTTTCTATGCTCTGTTTCATCATACACGACTAGATTCATAAAAGGATCGTCCACCATTTAACTTTAAATCCAATCTTTTATCCATAAACTTCTTTAATTTTAGTAGATGGGCTTTGCTCATGTTGATATTGCGCGATACAGATTACAGATACCGAAATATACAACGCGTGGCATTCACTAGTCTTTTCAAGCTGACACGTCCGCACCCGACGACGGTCGGAACGGAATCCCGGAATTATATTGCTTGTTCTCGGAAGCATGGACTTGTTGGTGGAGGAAGCCGTAACCGACCAGCGGTTACGTGAACCACCCAACGACGGCGAGGAGTCCAGCAATCCTTTCGCACATAACCATCCCTGCATGAGATTCGAACCGCGAACCCACGTGCGGTGGCGAGCGTATTCCTAACGCTTAGCCCGTTGAGCCACACCGCCGGGTGTCCCTTATGGTGACAAATATTGGGTAAGTTGGAACGTTTTTCTTATGAATACAGTTTTGATGGATTTGGGGTTAGGGCTAGGATTTAAGTAGACATAATTTTGCATGATCAATTAAAATCTGGTACATTAATTTGTGAATATACCGTTGATACTGATTACTGAATAGCGCTATAAAACCATGGCAATAGCTGCCGCGGTTCGTTCGTAGCAGGGGCTGCCATGAAGTGGTAAGAACTGCGCCTCCAAAATTGATAGGTTCATCCATCTCATTTGACAAGTGTCTGAGTGTAGACAACCCGCAGACCCGTGCAGTAATGGCTAGCAAGACATTTTAATGGACATTTTATAGGAAGCCACTTTTAAATGATACCGTAAATCATCGAGAACGATATTTTTTATGCTCGGTTATCCGGGCCAGGTCAAAGTGAAGTGATACCTGAATCTCCAGACATTTGTTGTTGTTTTGGGCTCCTTATATAGATTGCAAGACAAGGCTTTCTAATCTGGTTTGCAGCACCGAACATAGGAAAGCGTCTAACACTCACCAAAGTGTTTTAGAAACAGATTGTCGCACTATGTCAGAAGAGCGCATGGTTGAACTTCTAACTCAGTCTGAACCGAAAGTTGCTGTTTTTGCATAGAAGATTGGTATATCTCAACGTGGGTCTAAAATTGACAACATCTTGGCAATTATCAAAACAATGGAAAGGGTGATCAAAAATTTAACAAAGCCTTAAAAAGATATGAGGCTCTTCTGGTGGTTGAGCTTCAGCAGTATGTCCCCATGCCAGGCATGTCCAACCTTTTTAGTGTCGCGGGCCACTTTCACGTGGGGAAATTCATTGCGGGCCGCAAACATTTTTACCAAACTTAAATACTACCCAATTCCGATTTACGTTAAAATTTGAGCGTCGCTGAATCAAACGCCTGGATTGCACAACAATGTTGCGGATTTCTGAACACAAGATGCACACAAAGACCATAGACCGAGGCTGCCCAACCCGCGGGCCGCATGCGGCCAGCCGAAGTGTTTTTTGCGGCCCGCAGACTTTTTCAATTTTTACATACATTTTGATTTTACTATACATAAGTATCTTTCGTGATTTTGGTGTGATTATTCTTGCCATCTATCCACGTTCAAATCAAATGCCGGTTTTTATTATTAGGTATGTGTCAAGTCTCGCACCCTGGTGGACAGCAACGTCATTTTTTTTATTTCTCGCAAAACTGTGCACTCTGTTCGACGACCTATAAAGATGTTGTGCGATTATTGGGAACAAACGCTGAGCGCAAATATAGGAATGAACTTGGAGCCTAAGTTTGCAAATTAATTCCATTCTGAATTCTGATTGCTTTCTTTCGTGTCGGCTTTGATCGTCTTTATCGCCAACGTAAAATGAAAAGTCCACAATATCTTAGGTACTGGTCCCGGACTCGTTGTCTTTTAATGTTTGTACTTATGTTCGCGTTAAATAAGATTTTGGAAATGTCGTCACTGCATATTCGTCAATAATTCTGATGAAATTGTGAAATTGCTATTCTAATAAAAACACTATAACGCAAATATAACACTCAGCTTTGACGAGATGTGTGTGTGTTTCTTGCGTGGTCGCCAAAAAACCGCAAGTGTGTTGTGTGATGATTGATTCGGTCTCCCGAGCGTGTTATGTCCACGCCCCGTTTACCAAATATTCGAATAGTGAACCGCTATTCTAATATTCGAATAATTTGCCAGCCCTACCCAGTAAGCAACTATTAATTTGATTCATTTTATGTTAATAAGTTTTGATACCGCACAATGTAACTAACTGGCTTGTCAAATTTTCGTTCGTCAGCTTACTCCTATGCTTCGACTCCATAATTTTCAAATGATAAGACTTCAGGCGCTGTCTTAGAACTCTTCCGAATCCTTTTGATATTTCCGATTTTCATCCTCAAGTTTATTTATTCTGTTCCAGGCATACCGGCAGATTCAACCGGTGGTCCACAACCACCGATAAAACAAAGTACCGGTATGTGACTTTAACCTTGATGACTTCACAATGGGTAGAATATTCAAACAAACTGTCTGTTTGTTTGTTTGTATGTTAGACCGCAAATATATATTACTACGGTTAGACACTTTCGTATGTTACGCGAGGCTGCTACAAATTGCATGTGCATTCATCAAATCTCTGACCAAAAGCCTATTGATTTTGGATGAATTATGTCGTATAATTAGCGAGTTATTGATTAATTAGTGTTGAGACACACCGTGTCGCTATTGAGTCAGAGCAAAGGGAACATGCGGAAGATCGATAATTCAGCGGTCTCCGATCGCCATCTAGTTTTAAACTTATTCCCGTTGACGCTAGGAACAGGCGACCAAATTTGCGCCGTTGTAAATGAGGGACAGTAGCCTAGCACAGGGCTACTCAACTATTTTTACCGAATATCCACAAACAAAACTTGAAATATATTTGGGTCTGGTCTTTCCAGAAATTATATTTCGGCATCCTTAAGCACGCACTTCCTCGGCCGCCTAATGATTATTAGCTAATTAAGATTGTTTATTATGGCGTTATAGTTTTTTTCATATATATTTAAATCGATTTTATAAAAGGAAATTTCAAAAGTGGGGCTAAGGATCCAAAATAAAGAATTAGACGCGGTCCAAATCGAATACCCGAAAGGTCCGGATTCGGACCGCGGTTCGCCAGTTGAGTAGCCCTGGCCTAGCAGATTGCATAGTAAGACTGCAGTATCGTTAGTTTTAAAGCGGTTTCTTTAATGCTGGAACTGCCCCTAAATCACTTACCGCAACGGGGTAGAATATCTACCAAAACTTACCGGAACGGACCTGTAGTTATATTCTGAAGGTCATTTAGGGGGGCAGTGGCAAAAATGTTTTTTTTTTATTACCGGAATGGGCTCTAGATAACCGAAACAAATTCATTGAGCTATTTTTAGCTAAAACATCAAAAGTAGGTTTCAG